CGTCATTTTTATGGCTTACCAACCCTTTTCTTAAAGTCGGAAAATCTTTTTAGATTGTAACAATTTCTTTTATGATTTAGTTATACAAACCCTACTCATTAACTGATTGCAGGGGATGAAAAGGTGGAGTCCCAATAGGATTTGCGAATATAACGGACCCAAAAGGAATTGGAACTCGGATTTCCGATTAACAATTCAGTTCCGTTATCTATTACACCACCCACACACACACACATTTTTGTATGCTTAAATCATCTAGTATTTACAAGCGGTTATCCTTGTAGGGACTGACTAACATCTCCTTTTTTAACGTCGCCATTCGTACGAGAACTAATGTTTCATTGTGATGTGACAATAAGCTCCATATAAATCATAAGAATATATTTAAAATTGTAGTTTAGATAAGCTATGTGTAAGCACTATGATTGGCCTTGCTTCATATTATGTTTTCTTAGTAAATATGTGGCAATAGTCTCTATATAAAGCATAAGAATATATTTAAAATTGTAGTTTAGATAAGCTATGTGTAAGCAAGATGGTTGACCTTGTTTCATAGTAAGATTTTTAGTAAATATAAAAAAAGCAAAAATTTCAGGTCGTCATTTGATCAGTTGATGTGAGTAGAGTCAGTATTAACGATATTAGACGTCGCAAGAAGCTCATAGCCATGTGCCAGGTAAAGAAAGTTTAGTACAATTAATGGCGGATGTATACTCGATTGATTTCGGCTTTCTCTTTCAAGTACAATATGTTCCAAAGAACACCGAACAAAGAAGAATATAAATTCTTTATCCTCGACAAACCTGCTGAGTTGGTTTTGTTCTCCTACCAACCAAAATTTCGTATGTGCCTTTACATCAAAAGTAGGTTTAATAATCCCAGATAACGAAGTAAATGCGAATTGGCTTCTCGTCGAATACTAAAGTTAGCCCATTGTTTAAAGTGAACCCACAATGCATTGCTGCTGTCAACTCGTTATAAAGAGCCACTCAAATATCATCCACTTCACACGAACAGTTAACGTTGACGCGAGACATCTAACACGGAGCTGTTGTCCGGCCGGATATTTCGTGTTGTCGTACAAATCTTCAAGATGAGAAAATGGAGATGCTTATTAGAGGCTCCGTATTCATGACTCGGGATTTCTGGAAGTCAAGGGCCTGTAACCATTGTATGTATTCAGGCATTTTCATTTGGGAGGCTCAATTGTGTTTTCTAGTTCGCGTCAAGTGTATTCCACGTCTGCGTTTCCAAAGTTAAGCATATAAAAGTATGTAAAACTGCTTACACTGACTGATAAAAGTGAATATATATATATATATATATATATATATATATATATATATATATATATATATATATAAAAGGACAAAGTTTTACAATAATTTTAAGACATTTTTATGTTTATCCGTTCATTTTGTAGATACAAATATTTAAGTAAATGTTCTGTTCATAATAAACAGTATTAACGACATTTACCGGCCTGAATGTCCGAGAAAATTTCCTAGATAATTTGCGTCCTTCGACAGGAATCGAAATTGCTTGACGTGCCACGTGTGGCACGCGTGCTGTAGGTTAGAGAGCCTTGTTTATAACATCGATAGGTCGGACAAACTAAAATTGGGAGTTGCTCTAGAAACAGGGGTCAGCAACTTTTTCCTATCTACCGACTTAAGTTTTCAATATCATTCAGCGTACCAACAGCATAAGTATTTTAATACAAGTCAAGGTCAATATACCTGTTCTATAGTAATACATGGTATACATAGATTAAATATATATTAAAATTAAAACAGATAAATATCTTCTTTGATTTGGAGTAGTTATTGGTACGGATTTCGTGATGTCATTTGCGGCTGCGTGTCATAGAAAATTGCTTGGTGTGCCAAATGTAGCACGCATGCTGTAGTTTGCTGATCTCTGGTTTATAACATTGATAGGTCCGACAAAATAAAACTGGGAGATGATCTGGTTAAGGGGTGGCAAAATGTTGCTAAATGCCGAACTAAGTTGTAAAATCATTTAGTGTGCCAGCATAAGTATTATTTTTATACAAGTCAAGAATAATATTACTAGTGTACAATATATTTTATATAGTAATATATAGTATATATACATTAAATATATGTTCAAATTAAAACAGCTAAATATCTTGCTTTGCTTTGTAGTAGTAATTAGTTCGAACTTCGTGATGTCGTTTGCGGCTGCGTGCCATTGGAAATTGCTCGGCGTGCCACATTTTGCACACGCGTGCCTTATGTTGCCGAGCACTGTTTATGGCATCCATAGGTCCGACAAACTAAAACTGGGTGTTGCTCTAGAACAATGGTTCGGCAAGTTATTGTTATCTGTCGAATTAATTCTTTAATATCCTTCAATGTGCCAACAGCATAAGTATTTTTTATTCATCTCAAGGTATGTTGTACACTATATATAGAGAGAGTAATATATAGTATATATATTTTAAATATATATATGTATATAATTTGAAAAAGCAAAATATATTTCTTTGCGTACTAGTAGTAATAGGTTCTAACTTCGTGATGTCATTTGCGGCTGCGTGCCATTGGAAATTGCTTGGCGTGCTACATTTGGCACACGCGTGCCTGACGTTGCCGAGCCCTCTTTATGGCATTCATAGGTCCGACAAACTAAAACTAGGTGTTGCTGTAGAACAATGTTTCGGCAAGTTATTGTTATCTGTCGAATTATTTCTTTAATAACCTTCAATGTGCCAAGTATTTTTTATACATCTCAATGTCAATATACCTGTTGTACACTACATATATATATAGTAATATATAGTATATATATTTTAAATATATATATGTATATAATTTGAAAAAGCTAATTATATTTCTTTGCTTATTAGTAGTAATTGGTTCGAACTTCTTGATGTCATTTGCGGCTGTGTGCCATTGGAAATTGCTCGGCGTGCCACATTTGGCACACGCGTGTCTTATGTTGCCGAGCACTGTTTATGGCATCCAAAAGTCCTACAAACTAAAACTAGGTGTTGCTGTAGAACAATGTTTCGGCAAGTTATTGTTATCTGTCGAATTATTTCTTTAATATCATTCAATGTGTCAGCAGCATAAGTATTTTTTATACATCTCAAGGTCAATATACCTGTTGTACACTATATATATATAGTAATATATAGTATATATATTTTAAATATATATGTATATAATTTGTAATAGCTAAATATATGTCTTTGCTTACTAGTTGTAATTGGTTCGAACTTTGTGATGTCATATGCGGCTGCGTGCCATTGGAAAGTGCTTGGCGTGCCACATTTGGCACACGCGTGCCTTATGTTGCCGAGCCCTGTTTATGGCATCCATAGGTCCGACAAACTAAAACTTGACGTTGCTCCAGAACAATGGTTCTGCAAGATATTCCTATATGTCGAATAAATCTTTAAAATCATTGAATGTGCCAACGGCATAATTATTTTTTTATACATCTCAAGGTCAATATACCTGTTTTACACTATATCTATATAGTAACATGTACTATATATATTTTAAACATATATATATATATATATATATATATATATATATATATATATATATATATATATAATATTTGAAACAGCTCAATATCTTGCTTTGCTTTGTAGTAGTAATTAGTTCGAACTTCGTGATGTCATTGGCTGCTACGTGCCATTGGAAATTTATTTGCTGCTAGATTTGGCACACGCGTGCCGTATGTTACCGAGCCCTGTTTATGGCAACCATAGGTCCGACAAACTAAACCTGGGTGTTGCTCTAGAACAATGTTTCGGCAAGTTATTGTTTTCTGTCGAATTAATTCTTTAATATCCTTCAATATGCCAACATCATAAGTATTTTTTATACATCTCAAGATCAATATACCTGTTATACACTATATATATATATAGTAATATATAGTATATATATTTTCAATATATATATATGTATATAATTTGATGAGCAGTAGTCGGCAATATTTTGCTATCTACCGAAAATTTTTTTAAAAATTATTCAATGTGTCAACATCATACGTATTTTTATACAAGTCAAGGTCCATATACCTGTTCTACAATATATTCTATATAGCAATATAAAATATATATACTTTATTAGATATAAAAATTGAAACAGCTGAATATCTTTTCCTTTGTAATGGTTATTGATTCGGACTTAGTGATGTCATTTGTAGCTGCGCGCTATTGGAAACAGCTTTTCGTGCCGCTTGTAGCATGCGTGTCATAGATTGCCGACTCCTGCTCTAGAAAATGAAACTGTTATCACTTAATTATCATACAGAAGCATTTAAGCTTTTCATCAGCATGACTGATGCTAATACACTGGATTACAACTCTCCTTAGCGTCTTCTTATGCTCTTTTTTACACTGAGATGAAATAGAAGGATTATATGAAATTAATTGTTAGGTCTGATTCTAGGAAGTTGGTTCACTCTGACGTGTCAGACAATGTTTCTCTTCCGGATCTATTATACACATTTATATGTCTACGATTCCTCTGTGCATTGAATATTGCTGTCACATCTGCTCTGCTTCTCGTGTTCTATATTTCAAGATACTTTACAAAATCCCAAAAAAGGGTCTGTAACATTATCACTCTTGACCTGTCATCTTTACTACAGGTATATTCCCAAAATAAAGCTTACAAAAATATGTAACAACGTGTATCTAACCATAAAGAAATTGTCTAGGATTTATATGCAGACAACATTGTGACATGACCTATATAAAAAAAAATCGGTTATTTTTAATTTAAAGTAGGTCACATTCGATTTCATAATCACGGCTAAGGTCACAAGCCTATTTTTATTGATTTTCTTTTCAAAAAAAAAAAAAATGAAGTATTCTACGTTTGAAATTAAATTAATCGTTCACTCGCCAGTAGATTAACATCACCCGAGGAGACACATTTGTACTGTTGAAATATGATTGCAATTGTGTAGTGATTTTTAACTTTTCTCTTTTAATATACTAAAATAAATAGTATCTATCTATTTATCTATCTATCGCATTCTCCCCCTCCCCTCTCTCTCTCTCTCTCTCTCTGTCTTTATATATATATATATATATATATATATATATATATATATATATAGAGGAAGAGGAAAGCCCAGTTCTAAATCCAGTTGAATCAACTGCATTCACTTACATGCTAATAATACTAAGGTATGAATCCTATTCTCCTGTCCCCAGGTAATGATAATGAGCAGGACAGACTGGGTCCTATAGCTTTGGATGGCAACCGGTCTACGACAAGGACAACACTGAATTCAAAACCTGCGGAGGCTTCTCGGGGAGGGGGAGGGTTGTGGCACATTCTGCGCCAGTACTCTGTATTCGACCCTTCCAAAACGTTTGGTTGGTTCTACACAAGCCTTCACCGCAATAATCAAAAATGATTTGTGCGGGAATGTCTGGCGGTCGGTTTTAGGAACTGTGTTGCTTGACCCTCATACGTTGAAATGGACAGGAGAGTCAAGTATATATATATATATATATATATATATATATATATATATATATATATATATATATATATATAAATTCATGAATCATTTATACAAAAACAAATATAGAGGTTAATGATTTAAATGGCGAGAATACATCATCAAAAAAAAATATATAACTATATAACTATATATATATATATATATATATATATATATATATATATATATATATATATATATACATAACAATATAAATAAGGTACACCAACCCCGAACCTGTATATGAAGGATATGAATGATATGATCCCTGTTTATAAATTCCAGTTTCATAAGGTCTTTTTAATCTTTTTACAAGCTTTCGTCTGTTCCTACAGACATCATCAGGTATGGAAATAGATTTTGTTCTTTTTACTTCTCGGTAATAATTACATCTCTATTTTCGTTGTCCTCTTATTTGCAGGTCTGATGAGTTGGATTGTGATTACGATTCCAATGTAATAAATTATAACAATGAAATATTAGTGTTTGAGCCTTTTATATTATATTCTTACTCTATCCTGGATTCTATCCTCTTAAAAATTTTATATATATATATATATATATATATATATATATATATATATATATATTGACTACTGATATTATATATATATATATATATATATATATATTGACTACTGATATATTATATATATATATATATATATATATATATATATATATATATATATATATACAAACAAATATAGGATTGGTGTATATGGAATAAATTCCAATAACCAAAATTACTATTCTTAAAAAAAGAGTGTTCAATACATAGTAGAACAGATATAATTATTTATTTAAAAATTATAACATAAATATTTTATAAAATCACTACAAAAATAGTCATGTTATAATTTTTAAATGAATAATATATATATATATATATATATATATATATATATATATATATATATATATATATATGGGGAGGTGTTTAGGATGTGTCCTGATAACTTGATAAATATATATTTTTTAATTTATATCGTTTGTCAAATTTTTGTGTTCCTGCGCTTATGATAAAATTTCAACACCCGCTTCATACATGTTTGAAATTTTCTCAACCGTGTATTTTGTTTTTGTAATTTTTTTTTTTTTTTACGCTTTTGTGAATTTCAGAATCAACACACATGAAGGGATTATTTTAAATTCATCGACATTCCCGTCGATAAGCTGAATTACACGTCCAATCGCTCGCAGATCTTCCAAAAGCAATTCCTGTCGCCAATTCTTCCAGTTGGTCAAAAGGAAGGTTGCACCATTTTCTGAAATCGAATTTGCTTCCACGACAGAATTCGAGTTCCTCACCCGAATATAAATATTAATAGAAATAATAAACGCATCTAGTGCTGGCTTCTGAAATTCGCCTCTGAATTATCGCTAAGTCGATAAATTGCCTAACTTGGTGGTTTTTACATATTTTACTCAATCATGGGGGTGTAGAAAGGGGGGAAATTACGAATTGTTAGTGTCCCGGGGCGTGGTAAATTAATCAAATATAGACTGGGGGACGATGATGATGGTTGGGGAGTGGGGGTAACGTCTGAATCAAAGTAGCTTTGAGATAGGGGTAGGCTGCAAATAATTATTGCTTAACGGAAAGGAATTGATGGTTAATCATTGAGAGTCCATTACAAGAAGCGGACTTCGGCACCAGCTCTTCTCTCGTAAAGATAGGGTACCCTATGCAACTAAAAATATCACATAAAGTGTAAATGTCTCTGTAATTATAACATTCACTAGCCAAGATTTTGCAAACCCAGCCTACCACATACCCGACACAATGTGCGACGTAACTCTGAAAGTACATCCATTTATTTATTTATTTTCAAATGCTGCTTGAGATTTATAACTGGAAATATCAATGACTTGAAAAGATTTTAATATTCATCAAGAACATTTGCTCTAAGAAGAGTTGATCTGTGGTAACCAGGGTGTGACTAAAGTCGCACACGATAGGGATAATTTATTAAAGGTATAATTGCACGTGAAAATTTTATTTACTAGTTATTTAATTGTTATACGTATTTAAATACCTGGGAAGCCTTCTGGAAGAGGACGATAAATGCGACACTCTGAGATCCGTAGACGTATATTCCAATACGGCCTTGGCATTTTATGCCAAGGCCGCATTCCAAAAGCTGAGCAGAGTATTGCGAGACAGGAGGATTTCTTTGGTAACAAAGAAAAGAATACTGAGCTGTTAAGTGATATCTGTTCTTCTTTACGGCAGCAAATTTTGGGCGGTTTCCTTAAAGATGAAGAAGAGCCTCGAGGCGACAGAGATGTGGTTTTACAGAAGTATGCTAAGGATACCATGGACCGAGCGTGTGAGTAACGATGAGGCATTAAAGTGGAGGCAAAGAAGGAGGAGGTCTATATTTAACATCAGGAAGAGACAATGGTTCACAATGTCCTCCTCTTGACAACACATATTTCAATTCTGTAACTACCTAAATGATTCATTATCATGTCGAAGAGTTTCCTCAGTCATTTTACTGCATTCATATTTTATTCTCTCTTTAAGTTCCTCAATATTTCTTGGGCGCGCCTGATAACAGTTTTCAAATGCCCCCACAGAAAAGAAAAAAAAAGTGACCTAGGTGACACCCTCAACTGGACCTATCAAAACAAATTAGACACTTAAAACATGATTAATTAACCCCTATGGTGTGTGACATTTGCTCAACCCCACAATAGACAATGGTTTAAACATAGGATGGGCAACCTTTTGCACAGAACGGGCCAAAAAGCTATGCAGCATCTCGGAGGAGGTTCTATGATATCAAATGTAATATAATAAATTCTTCCAATCTTCGTCCATTCCGTCCAGAAAAAAAACAACAAAGTTAATGTTTATTACAACGTTTCGGTCGTTGTACGCTCCGGCCTTCTGCAGGTGGTTGGAATGTCGAACTAAACCCTTTATTTCGCTCACTAAGGTAGACTCTTCTAGTTCCACGTTTCAATCGATGCCAGTTGTCAGTTATCTCCTGTTAATTTTCCTCTGCAAGTTCTACACTACTTTAACCGGGTATTGAACTCACTCTTTGGGTCCAGTCACTGGATCTAACCAACACCTTTATCTACTGTGCCATGTGTCCTTGAAGACAACTGCGTATGAATTTCTGGGTATTATAAACCTAATGTCTTCAGCAACCATTATACGAGTAAAATTAAAGGTTCAGTTCGACTTTCCAACCACCTGAAGAAGGTTGGATTGTATAACGGCCGAAACGTTGTAATAAATATGGCAACAAAGATAAAGACAATAGTCCGATTAATATAAATAGTGTACATACCTCATCTCAGAAATATAGACAGATACTGAAAGGCCGAAACGTTGTAATAAATATGGCCACAAAGATAAAGACAATAGTCCGAATAATATAAATAGTGTACATACCTCATCTCAGAAATATAGACAGATAATGAAAGGCCAAAACGTTGTAATAAATATAGCCACAATGATAAAGACAATAGTCCGAATAATATAAATAGTGTACATACCTCATCTCAGAAATATAGACAGATACTGAAAGGCCGAAACGTTGTAATAAATATGGTGACAAAGATGAGGACAATAGTCCGAATAATGAAAATAGTGTACATAATACCTCATCTCAGATATATAGACAGATAACAATGTTAATATATTATTATTTAAACAAGGTTCCTTATTTTACTACATGAATAACAAGATAACAGCTATGGCAGCAAAAATGCAAATTCCTTTCTACAAAACGAAATACAATTAGAAATGGCAGTTATTTCTGCTTATTGATCGATAACTTCTCCGCATCAGTTGAAATATTTGTCGATGACAGAAGCAAAACATATCCAAGTTGTCATCACCAAACTTTGTTATTAAAAGAATTTCAGCATAATTCATTTTCGATAGAAGTTGTTCACAAGTATATATACTTCCAAATAAAGATATCACCATTTTCGCATTATTTAACAGGCTTCGATATTTTCCGCTTGACAAAAAAATATTTCTTGAAGAATATTACTTTGTGACCAGCCTATTTTCCAGCCATCTTCAGGTGAATCTTGTATATCTAGAGAATTTTTATAGTTTTTTTATTTATTTTATAGTTTTTCTTATTTATTTATTTTTTAATTTTTAATTTTTTATCGAACTCTTTGATTAGGGTATTGATCTAATTTGGTTCAATTTGTCTTCATTGATTTTAATTGCTAAATAAATTTAAGTACTAATCAAATTTTATGATTAATTGATTCAGGTTAATCGTCTCAACGGGAAATACGTCAAATATTTCCTGGGAAAATCAAAAAGTTACTATGTAAATGTCGCCCTTAAGAAGAGAATTGTTACAAGTGTTGTTTAAATTAATTGTAATCTTTCTCCCTTTAGCACAGGGGTCGGCAACCTTTTGCATAGAACGGGCCAGAAGGTTATGCTGCATGTTGGAGGAGGTTCCATGATATCAAATGTAATATAATAAATTCTTCCAATCTTAGACCACTCCGTCCAGAAGGCTGCCTTGGTTTGAAGGTTAACAAATAAACAACGAAGTCAATGTTATTTTATTTAAACAAGGTTCCTTATTTTACTGCAGGAATGACAGGATAACAACTAACACCATTAACAAAAATGCAAATTCCTTACTACAGTTAAGTTGGCATACAGGAAAAAAAACCCTTTCCTGGCCGAAGGTTGCCGACTCCAGGTTTTAACTCTATTAAATAACAAAGTATGCTTTGTAATCTATCATCCGAGGGTGGCAAAGCATTTACGTTACTCCTGGATTAGCTAGAAGGTGTTTTAAATGATGCAAGGGCTATATCGGACAGAAAGTAATGCAATGGTTGTCCCAAAAAAATGACATAATTTGAAAATAGTTACTTACGATATACACATGAATGTAGCTGAATGACAGAAAGATACATATATATATATATATATATATATATATATATATATATATATATATATATATATATATATATATATATATATATATATATATATATAAAATTCAGCATTTGTTGATTTTAACCAAGTACCTAGAGTGGCTTTTGAGCCTTGTAATGGATAGCGGTTTGGATAGGGGAATCGGAGAGCCGAGTTCGAATTCTAGTCGAATACATTACATTCACTTACGTGATAATACCCTTCGGAAAGGTATTAATCCTCTTCTTCTTCATCCCCAGCTATAGGTAAATAGCAGGACAGTTTATGTTTTATAGACTCGGATAGCAACTGGTCTACAGAAGAAAGAAATGGCAACTTACTGCGGGAAAAATCTGCCTCGTCAGTCATGTATACATGATCACCTAAACGTGTATCACGCATGGCACATAACTGACTGTCTTAAGTCATCTGCATAGTCAATATCGTTCAAGATTTTTGCTGCATATCGACTTGGTGATAAAGTAAAACCTTAATGATGTCGAGACGCCATATATAATGGAGAAGTCATAGGAAGATGAACAGAAACCTAAATAATTTCTTTTCCAAAGAATGGAGGTCAAGGATCGGCAAAACGTTTAGAGGAATCACATTTACCTTAATTGTTTCTCATCAGAGTAAAGCATGATTTTATTGATTTACCTGACACAATTTGTATTGATCCTTGCTGGTTGAATTAAATGAGTTCAGTTTTAGAGGCATTGCGTCCGGCATCATTAGCTGCATTGTTTAGTTGCTGTAGGGCACTTGTAGAATTGGTAATGTTGTCTCGGATTCAGGAATCGAATAGCCGAATTCGAATTCCAGACGAATCCATTAAACTCACTTATGTTCTTATACCCTTGGGAAAGGTATGAATCCTCTTCTCCCTCCAGCTATGGGTAAAATAGCAGGACAGACGATATTCTATAGCCTTGGATGGCAACTGGTCTACCGCAGAAAGAAATAACCAACTACTGCGGGAAAAACATATGCTTCGTCAGTCATATATCGAAAGATACATGATCGCCTAAGCGTGTATCACGCATGACACATGACTGACTGTCTAAAGTAATAGCTGGATCATCTGCATAGTCAATATCAGTCAAGATTTTTGCTGCATATCGACTTGGAGATAAAGTAAAATCTAAATGATGTCGAGACATCATATATAATGGAGAAGTCATAGTAAGATGAACAGAAGCCTACATAATTTATTTTCCAAAGAAAGGTGGTCAAAGATTAGCAAAAATTATACTGGAATCCCATTTAACTTAATTGCTTCTCATCAGAGTAAAGCATGATTTACCTGACACAATTTGTATTGATCCTTGCTGGTTGAATCAAATGAGTTCAGTTTTAGAGGTATTGAGGCCAGCATCATTAGTTGCATTTATTAGTTAATGTAGGACACCTGTAGAATTGGTAATTTTGTCTCAGATTCAGGATTCGGAGAGGTAAGTTCAAATTCCAGTCGAATCCATTACATTCAATTACGTGATAATACCCTTCGGAAAGATATTAATCATCTTCTTCTCCCTCCAGGTATGGCTAAATAGCAGGACAGACCGGGCTCTATAGACTTGGATGGCAGCTGGTCTACGGAAGATAGAAGTGGTAACCTATTGCGGGAAAAATCTGCCTCATCAGTGATGTATCGAAAGATAAATGATGACCTAAGCATGTATCCCGCATTGCATATGACTGAATATAATGAAACTTAGTATCAGAAATATATAGTTATTATACGTAAATGCTCATCAGCTCAAGTGCATGAACACAGAAAACAACTTTTCGTGGTGATTGGTAGCTTATGAATTTAAACGATCACCATGTTTCATTTAACTCTGGGTTGATTATAGTCAATATATATTGGTCGCTGGAGGATATGCTGAGGTAAAGGAAGAACAGTTTTTTAAAGCGCAAACAAAAACCTGAGGCATGACGTCGCCAGTCACCATTCGTTGTAGCTTTCCCTGTCGTTGCATTTTAATAATACGTACAGTGAATATATTGCAGTAACAATTTCATTTATATATATATATATATATATATATATATATATATATATATATATATATATATATATGTGTGTGTGTGTGTGTGTAAGCTCTGTTTAATTCAACAGTCTCACTGTCTAACATTTATTGAATTTTTCTACTTTTCCAATAAGTTGGCAGGAATCAAAATTAGGGATAATCTTTTCACTTCATTTTTCTCTTTTTGTTCAAATATATTTGAGTGCCTCGGTCATTATCAAGAACTCATTGTTGTCAGGTTCGTCACGATCTCCTAAATACAAATGTATACGCATCGAATAAGGAATATAACGTAGAGAATGGTTTTACAGACGCTGATTATCTCACGAAAAATGCACCGTATATTTTCTTCTTCTTCTTCTTCTTCTTCTTCTTCTTCTTCTTCTTCTAATATTCAGTCTTCTTTTTATTCTTCTTTTTATTATTATTCTATCTATTCTTCTTCTTCTTTTCTGCTGCTGCCGCTGCTGCTGCCGCTGCTGCCGCTGCTGCTGCTGCTGCTGCTGCTGCTGCTGCTGCTGTTTGTTTTTCTTCTTCTTTGTCTATTCATTAATAGACGAAGAAGCTTCTTTTTCTTCCTTATGTTGATCTTCCGTTTTTCTTCCTTTTCAATGTATTTTCCTCCTATATGTCTCTTCTAATATATATATATATATATATATATATATATATATATATATATATATATTAAAAATGTTGCAAAAACTTTGAAATAACCCCCCGTAGTAAAAGATATTTTATTTAATATGGCTTGTTCAATAACCTGAAATACGTTGCGCCTTTCCTTGTAACGTGTACGACACAGCATTTTTATTCTCTATAAAAATTTGTCTTATATTCCTAATCATCGTGAGCAGCAGCAGCCACGTGACTTTGCATGGAGATAGAGATGCTGCGCAGTTGTGCATATCACTACCTTTATCTGTATGTTACGTTTGCGTGCTAATGTTTGTGTCTCTGCGAATGATTTTCCTCCCCACTCAGTGACGATGTCAGACCATTTTCCCCCTGTCTACCTTTTCTTCTTTTTTTGTTTGGAAAGATCGTTGGTTATGTCGTCATAACATCTCATATTTATTTTCTTTACAATTGATACAAGATATTCAAACGGAACTGTATCTAGTCTGGCAGTGTCTCCGGTGAGGACGCCAACGCAAAAACTGGTTGGACAATGCCAAACAATGAACAAATATGACTAAACCAGAATTGCTGATGACTGCTGTTAATAAACCGTTGTGGGGGAGATTCAATATGGCTTCAAAATGTCTTTGGTGACGTAATACGTTAAACGTAAGAGATACCTAGGACTTTCCAACAACAACTGTTTTCTGTTGCTTGCATTCTGCTACTAATGTCAAAGGTTTGCAGACGGACACAGAGAACCAGAATCCCAGTAAGTGCTTATATATATATATGTATAATTATTTATTTAAAAATATGATTCCAACGCTACATAAGAGTTCTCATGTTTCAAAACAAGAGCCGAAAACTTCAATATAATTATTTGAATTAAATTGAATTAAAGTACTAAGCTCTCTTCCATCTTCAATTTATGCTCTACTTTTGTATCGAGCACTATTTAAAAAAAGATAATAAAAAAATACTAAAGAACTTTCCTATTTTCTATATATTTTTACATATATATATATATATATATATATATATAGTCATTTTCATGCTAAGTATACTTAAACATGGAAACAATAAACAAAAACTAAAAATTCTTGACGCTATATGCATAAAACAGTTGAAACCAAACCTGAACAAAATAAACCAGCAAATCTCAAAAAATATTCTTAAATGTCTATAATTGGTAACAGAAGCCATTGGTTTATACGAACGGCTTCCCATACTTAATAGTTCTCGAATTCGCTCTCGCGTGGTCATGTGTGACGTCATGAGCTGCGTTGCAATTTTCGCTTCCAGCGTCTTATATGCACGTATTTAACGTTGCTGGAAATCATCCAAGTATATAGAAAAAGAGTATCATCACATTCTTGTCCGTGTATTGCTTAATATATTGTACTATAATTTTCATCTTTGATAATGGCTTATGTAAGCCGAAAGCTTAGATTGGTTTAAAAAATATTGATCAATATTGTGATTTTCTTTCTTCGTTTAATGATAATGTTATTAAGCTTATCAGACGTTATGAAAAGAATTTGCATAAAATAAATAGACAACACTTGTCTATATTATTTAATGAAACATGTATGAATGAAAAAATGTTGCCTAAATACACGCAATTTAATATATATATATATATATATATATATATATATATAAACAAAAGTTCAAAATGTGTGAAGACACCTACACAATTAGCATGGGATAAACTTGACTGGAGTGTGAAAAAGAAAAAAGGACTCTTAGAATCATTGAAAAAATAATGGAATCAAGTATGAAACTTATTCTTTGAGAAAATGTTTGTAACGACTAGCAAAAACAATGTGCTGCAATAATCAAGGCTAAAGGAGGCTATTTTGACGACAGCAAAGTTTAATCATAAAATGCTTTTTTTCCTAATAATGCCACAATGAAATTGCAAATACAGAACATGTATTACATTTTTAACTATATATAATAATTTTCTCTTGGTTAAAGCACAAAACAACTACTTTTGGTACCAAGTTACTGTAGTGCGTGTATATATATATATATATATATATATATATATATATATATATATATATATATATATCGTTCATCTCGGTATCGTTCTTATTTGCGCTTATCATAGATATGATTAGAGGTTATACAGTCATTTTCTCTGCATAAATATCTTCTCTGAATCTAAGTCAATACACAAATATTAGACTTAAGGGAGCGGACGCATTTCTTGCAAGATTCGAGTAATTTGGACAAACCCTTTGCAATATTTAAGATTAGAACCTATGATTTTCAGTTTCAGAATCGTTTTTCAAGGAGCAAAAATCCCATTCCCTCTTATTTTTCACTGAACAGGATCTATCTATCTCAATATGCTCATTTACTATCTAACTCTCTCTCTCTCTCTCTCTCTCTCTCACTCACTCTGTATGTGTGCAAACTAAACGAAGATTAATACATCGTCCGTTTCATTTTAGACACCCCCACCTTTCCTCGACTTGACACCTTGAAAGTATCTCTATACCGCTACTTATTATTAACACCCTACATTCGCCTACCCAATTTAGACAATTCGCCCTAGCTGTTACCATGGGGATTTTGATTTCAATTTTTAAAACAAGTAAATTTCAGATATTTGTTATTCCAACAAAATTTCGCTTGAAGATGGAACGGAGCCCATTTTAATTTCAACTCAATTTAATTTAAAGGATTATATTGAAGTTTTCGGCTCTTGTTTTGAAACATGAGACCTCTTATGTAGCGATTTGGAATCATATTTTTAAATAAATAATTATATTTATGCTCTACTTTTGTATCGAGCACTATTTTTTAAAAATAATAACTAAAAAATACTAAGGGACTTTGGATTTTTTACCTAACCAGTTCCTTCCTATTTTCTATATATTTTCACACACATATATATATATATATATATATATATATATATAGTGTGTGTGTGTGTGTGTGTGTGTGTGTATTTAGGCAGCAATCCTTCTTTCAAGCACATTTAATTGAAAACGACAGACAAGGTGATTTTATTTAGGTTTTTTTTATACAATTTCTCATGCGATCTAATAATTTTTCATATAATTTAAAAAATATGTATTAATCGCGTCACCTAAATTACTATATTTCTGAACTAAAAACTGAACTTTAAATTCAAATTAAGTTTGTTTTTTTTGTTTTTTTCCATTCTCAAGTGATATTGATTTACTTTCTAATGATTTACATTTTTAATCTAAATAATTTAAGTTGGAGGGGAAAGGGATTACAATTTTAAAAGGTGTTGCTTTTTTTGACGAATCAGAATTAAGACGGGAAAGTTTAAATATATATTAAGTGTTAGAGGGGGGGTTTGTAATTTATCCTTTTCGATACAGGTTTACCTATATGAGAACGTGTTATCCTGTCTGGTTATTTTTTATTTACGGGAATAACTAAGATACAATACAGTACATTAGCATTTTTATTTATTTTTTTTATATTTTTTTTATAAAATATATTGCAATTTTCTTGAAGGGGGTTCAAATATGATTAATTCATATTTTATATATCATTTTATATTTTCATTTATAAATATCTAAAATACTGTATTTATAATATTCGTATAGTAGATACGGTATTTTTAAAATTAAGATTTAAAATTTTGGAATTTAATTACGCATTTTCTTTTCATATTTGTGATCAAATACCAGATATATAATTACGAAATAATTTTAATTAATTATGTTTTAAAGTAAACATAATACAGTGTCAGCAGAAACAGTTATTTCTTTTCCTTGATTTAATCAATTTTTAATTTTTAGAAACTTAATAATATATAACTTTCATGTAGTCACAAAATACATGGGCCATTTAAAGACCTACAAGTTCTCGTTTTCTTTATAAATTTCCATTATATATACATTAATTTAATAAAAACGCTTACCCATAGGGGATATCTATCACTGATATTACCCAGCCAAGGAAGGCGCGGACATCTTTGTACTATAGCAGGCTTAATATTATTGAATTCAGCAATTTTATTCTTAATTATTGCTTGAACAATGCCCATTGTATAGTAATAAACCTAAGTTCATCATCCAACTTAATTTCAGAATAGATCATGAGCCCTTTAGGTAAGGGTTTTAATCAAATTAATTTTACGTTTCATGACACAAAAGAATCCCAACAGGTTTATAAACCACTAAACATGGGTTTACGGCAAACAGAAGTAACAAAACCCGATGAAGATCTGTTAACCAAAATATCAACAAAGAGAAAAGACGAATCAACTTTCTTTTTCCTGTGAAAACATTAATGCTGGATGGATATTATTAAGAGACACAGGAAATTGGTCCGCTTCAATCTCGTTATCGAAGATACAAAAGGGTGTCATCGACGTAACGGAAATAAATATTAGGTTTATTAGGTTTCAATAACATACTCTCTTTTTGGAAACCAACAAAGATAATTTCTATTAGGTTGGTACAAAAATAATGACGTAATAATGTCGTTTTTTGACGTATTTTTTAACGTTAAAAAACGACATTATTACGTCATTAGTTTTGCACCAACCTAATAAAATCAGTACCTGCGCTTTCCTTGGCTGGGTAATATCTGACAGATATGCTAAGTAAGTTTCTGTAGTCAGTTCGACATTGTTACTATGCCGCTAATACTCGTGTGGTTTTCCCTGCCAAGCCTGTCCATGCGTAAGGACGTGTTCCCTCCACATCATAATAGATCTTTAATTTATTCTTTTAAATGAAGTTGTGGTTTGCGCTTCATAGGGAGAACGACTCAAAGGCTGGATGTCAGAATAAAGCAAAACTTTCCAACGAAAATCCGTAAACTTAAGTACATTCCTTCAGACCAATACTTTTGGGTCTTCCATCATAGAACACCTAATAAATAGCCATAATTGTGCTA